GCATGGAGAAAGAGGAGTTTCACTAAGACGCTTCTACATTATAATTTTGTCAAGGTGAGAACACAAAATATTTTCTTTTGATGAAATTTATAATTTAATTTATGTTTACTTACCACTATTATTGAAAATAAAGCTCATTACTTAAATTTTATGGTGAACAATTAATAATCCTATTAAAACTCTGAATGGTCGAGTTGGAAAAAACCTTCCGTTATAGCGAGAATTTGTCCCTTGCATCTTTAAGGGAAGAAGGCAAGACTTCTTCAATGGAAGTTCCATGGGCCTTCAAAAAATCGGGAATTCAGAAAGTTATAAATAGATATTAATTCGTCACCTCCGACTTCTTAATCTATGAAAACGCCTAAAACGCCAATCAATCAATCATCAATGGCTACAATCAGCTGCAACTACAAGCACAGTGAGTCATAAAGGAAGCGACTTGCGCGTGCATTTTAGACGCAGTACACCACTCAGCGATACCACACCACCTCCCCCTCCCCCCGCCCTCCACCACCACCACGACTCCTCAACGCAGTATTGGCCAATTTTACACACTGACCTTAACACAACTCGAGTATTGATCAAATAGGTAAATAAGGACTAACCAAGTTCATGAGGCAATTCATGACAGAGAACAGCCAGTGCAGTAGAAATACCACCATTAATATCAACAGCAAAGGAGGCACCGATAGCGATACCATCACAGAAGTTATGCAGACCATCTCCAGCCACAATTGTCCATGCAATTGCCTTCACGGAGCTCAAATCATGGCTATGGCCATGATGATGACCATGGGGTTTACTGGGATGCAGAGGACCCCTTCTGGAATGTCCATGATGATGACTGTGATGACGGTGTCCATGCCCGTGACCGTGACCGTGATGATGATGTCCATGTCCGTGAGTGTGGTGCCCATGGCCTTCTTGAACGGCCTTGTCTGCCTTCTAAATATACGCATATAAACCAAGATGTGAAAAACAAAACAGGTGTTCAATTAGCAGAAACCTGTCATCATAAATTGGGAAGGAAAAACAGCCACAGGTCGTGAACGGACTGACCCAGATTCTGGGCGTTGACAAAAAATGATTGTATTCAAGTTGAATGTGCAAAATGTTGAAGATCGCTTGTCTAATAAAATCCTCAAAATAAAAGACTCGATTTAGGGTAGAACTGATCCCCAAGTCTGCGAAATGCAATAAGGTAAGATATGTATAAGAAAAAATAAAAAAAAACGTCGGCAGGAACTGGCTTTTCCTATGCTTCCTTTCATACAATTATATGCTAATATTAAGATAAGAAAACAAATTAAGGAGACTTCGCAAAGTAGAAGTTCAATATTTAATCAATTTGGCCCCAATTCAACTGTTTTAACTTGCAAAGAAATGCAGAATAATTTACGCGTTTAAATATCCTTTGAACACTTTTGAGCTCCCAGTACAAATTTCACTCTTATGTTGCTTCAAGTAATTCATTGCATTCAATTCCGAGACAGACATAAGTGTCAAATCCTTCAGCTGGTACCCGCCAAGGACTTGACACTCCGATGGGAAAGGCTCCAAAAATGACAAACACGCCCTGGTGATTAAAGACGTCATTTTCTAAACATGCTAAACTTAAAGTAAGAGATATCCATACTTAAACAGCAAAATATAGTACTAGAAATTGCAAAAGCTTCAAATTCATCATTAGAGTCCGGCTTCGACTAATATCATCGTGATCGCACCTAGCCAAAAACTTTGACAATCATGCAGAAACTTCATATGCGAAGGATTTGAACATGAAGTAGTGAACTAACCACGACGCGCAAGTGTAAAACTTGAAACCAAAATTCAGCCGAAATAATTTACTGTGGGTACTATTCATTTCTACCCTTATTCTGAACTATTTCAGAATTCCGGCTTCAAACAGAAGGTCGAAGCTACGACACTGGAAAAATACACGAGTCAGTGATGTATTGTCCAATGTGCAATCATGCTAAGCTAGAAGTTTCTGAATCAATGTCAATAGGTGTGCATCCAGTGATTTGGATGGTCAAATTCGCTGATTAAATATGGTCAAAAGAGAGGCGGCAAGATATCACCATCCCCATGTCTAAGTTCGGTGTTATGAAACACCTGTATTCTAAAAAAGGTTGGGAGTTCAGTGGATGAGCTTGCTAAACTGTTGTGATCCGCGCGAATACAAATAGAAATAAGAAATTTTATGTGAAAGCAATCGGATGGCCTTTAAGAGCTTAAACGGTGTAATGTGACTCAAGCATCACCTAATCGAAGTATACGCAGTTGACCCTAACCCTAACCCTAACCGACCCATCTAACCGAATCGAGCATGCAAGAATCTCATTAAATTCCTCTTGTGTGCACTTCTAACGCAATGAAATGGAAAGAACCGTGAAGACGAAATTAATTTAATCATTTAACGACGTAGTGACATACTGTAATACATACCTTATTGACTTCGGTATAATCGTCATCATCACCTCCGCTTTCACTTCCACTTCCATCATCATTATTTGAGTAATCGCCTTCAAATTTGACGTGCCTCTTCGACTCTTCTTCCTCGCTATCTTCAAGATTCAGGGATATGGAAATACTTGCAACTCCGTTGATATTTGTACCTTGCTCATCTAAAAAATAATTTTAGTAAAGAAAGGAGAAGCAATTTAACACAAAGAGAACAAATCTACGTTACAGCAGTAGATGACATCAAATATTGACTTTCTGATTGAAAGTAAACAAATGCTACACACAGGATGCTGTGAGCATGAGAGCGTACAAACTTACTGGCAAGAAATTCCGAACAACGAGCATTATCCAACGGTCTAGAGGGGGGTCTATTGCAGAGATGTCGTGTACCGCTAGGAGGTCTTTCATCCTATGAACAAAAACACATGCTTGTATAAGAAAGACAGGAGGTGATTTTGCTAGTTGATTTCTTGTTATCCTCAAATGAGGACACGGAAAAAGAGAGAATGAGAGTAAGTCTGTATAAGTCTGAGAAATCTTACCAATTCGCAAGTGATTTCATCAACTCCGATGCGGTTAGTACAGGGGTTTTCTCCGGGAGTTCTCTGATTTAAATCAACAAAAGGTTCATTACTGGCACCCTGAGATGGTGAAGAGGTCAGGTCAGAGGATTGACGTGTCAAGGCAGCGACGCTATTGGCGGTGGATTCCTTGCCATTCTCGTTATTATTTTTGGAAAGAGATTTTAGCTTCTACAAAATGGAGAAATTAATTGCCAGCAAGATCACTTTTCCGAGAAGCGCAAAAAATAAAAGTAACCCACTTCATTTCTCTTAAGTTTTCTCATAGATGCGTGATTTTGACCGATAATTGTTATTCTTTCGGTTAAGAAGAAAGCATAAATGCCCAAAATAACAATCATGGCTTTCCAGATAAAAGTATCATGCAGATTACCGTCTTTTCCATCTGAATCATGGGAATGACCATGGCTACTAGAACCGTCAGAGAGTAGAGCCTGAAAAAAATTAAATATTTTTCTTTAAATTCTTTCTTAAAATAACTGCTGGCAGACTTTAATGAAAGATAGATTACGTGAGGAATAAGATGTAAGAAGGCATCCCCAATCAGTGAGCCGACAGAAAGAGCAATTAAAAATTGGGTAACGACATTATAAATTTTTCTTGACATCTTTGGAACCAGGGCGACCACAAGGAGACCAGAGAAACTGATTATAATAACTGCAGTAATGCTAGTAACCCAAACTAAAAATAGATAAACGATAAATCCGCATTGAAATATTGAAACCAAAAGAGGATATTTCAATATGGTAAGTTAGTGAAATATAAAGATAGAGGAAAGAAATGTTAAGATATCCAAAACTTAGGCAAATTATTCAAGCTAAATTAAAATGAAAAATACCAACCTTTCCAATTATGGCTAGCGTATTTGGGGCTGCTTTTTAAGGGACTGTCATGACATTTGTGCTCGACAAGATCAAAAATTAAAGTTGGCAAAATTTTTCGAAAAGCCTCTTTGTCCAAAGATCCATTGAAAATGTTCTTTGCATCGAAACACTGTTGAAAGTAAAACTGAGTTACCAGATGAATAGTTTGAAAAATATCTGCTCAAAATAAGCCAACCTTGACTTCTGGGTTCCTTGTATCTGAAATAAGACGATCTAAATCGTTATCACAGATGGTGTCGACACTTTTATATTTTTCAAACAACAAATTGAGATGGGATTCGGTTTCTGCTATTAAAGTATATCCTTCCGACCGTACCTGTGTTGCAGAAAGGAAGATAAAAAGTAAAATCAGCGCTATAAAAAGATTGGCATGCTGCAATCCGTTTGAAAATGTTCCTCTCATATCGTACAATCTTCCAACCACCAGACAATACTTTACACTTCTAAATAAATTGCGTGCTTGCAAGGGCCATATATTTCCACCAAAACAACCAATAGGTGTCAAGGCCTATTTAGCAAAAACACTGATTATTTTAACACATATTAACAAATATGAATTTCTAAAATACTACATTTTAACGCTATTAAGTATTAATAATTTATTTTGAAACTTAATCAAATTAGATCTAATTGAAAGCAATATCGTTTTAAAGGATTACTACGAGTTAACGTGACCAAAGTTTTGTAATATATATACATAATGAAAGAGAGGGTGAAAAAATTAGGCTTTTATATATTTTCATTAGATAAAAAATTCCAAACTAAACCGAGAAGGGGTTTTCCAACGCCCACCAACGAAAAGGAGTGGCATTATGGAACCCTATTGATGACGGATTCAATATCAGCAGTGTATCATAAGGCACTGGCCTTAATCTAACCACTACGTAGTTAAAATAGAAACTATGAATTAATCAATCAAAGCGTAGTTTATTAAATATGGAATTGACTTTCGTTAATAATTCTTGACGATCCCTAATCCATTTTTGTATGCTTATTCGCCGTGATGTGATAAATGCATTTTTCAAGATGAAAATACCATAGTCATACATGGAAAAGTAGATCTGATCATTTACTTTCAATTGGTTTTAACTTGTACAAAAATTCTTGCGTTAAATATACTAGATTAGATTAAAGTAACTGAAGACTCGTGTTTTCAATTGCGTTTGGTAAAGTTAACAACTTGGACACCATTTTTGTTATATTTAATATTTCATTAACTAATAAATAGTCAATCATATAAAAAATTTAGGTAAACAATGGTAGAATCGTCTGTCACGGGTTTTCTAGGGGTGTGTGGTAGATTGCCTTGACCTATGCTCAATAATCTCGATGGTTCCCAGGATTGGCTAAGCTACCGCATTACGTTTATTTGGGGTGTGAGCTAAAGACGGGTGCTTAGTCATTATAATATTATAGAGGGTTTGCTAAACCAAGCCGTGACTATTGATTGGTTGTTGGCTAGGCGGTCTCCGTCTTCACGACTGCACTTTTTCTTTACGCAAAGTAACACGTGACTGTCTGAGACTCCATTGTTCAGCGATGATAGTGATGTGCGCTGTATAGGTCTTTGAATCTTACACTTTCAATTTTGAACACTTGATCTCTTTTAAGTTTTTTCGTAGTCTTCTGAAATCTTCAGAGTTACACACAGGATAGTGATTGCTATTGTTCTTAGGAAATTTGAAATTTAAAAGCGGAGGAAAGTTACATGCATTTTAATAGATATATGTTTGTGTCGTTTTCGCTTTGAAAGGTAAAATTCTATATCGGAGAAGGAACTATGTGCATTGGCTTACTCAGATTTTGACACCAACGTGATGCGTTGTCCAATAGCCAAATTGTAGATGTCTGTCCGTCCCTTCCAATAGCCTATTCACCTGTGACACCTTGTCAAAAGCTTGCTCAAACAGTTCCAAAGTTGAGTAAATAAATATAGTTCTCTGAAACATAATAAGAGTCCTCAAATCGAGTCGAAGTATTTTGCATACCATTTCCGAAAACGCTATTCTTTCCTACGCACTAGTTGTTAGTGACGATACCGATTATGGAAGACCTAGTTGGCAAAACTTTTGGATACTTTGATTATGAGTCAACTAGGCTTAGACCGGGATCCCTCGGATAGATCTAGCAAAACTGTGATTAATGTAGGACCAAGAAGCGCCAATTGGAGAGCACATAAGGGAACCTGGGCAGAAACGAGTGCTTCCGTTTGTTTAGCCTAGACTGCAATTTGAAGGTGTAATTTCTAACACTATTACCTTGAGATGGAAGCGGAGTTTGCAAGACGAGTTTCCTCGAGTTAGTTGAATTTTTAATTCAACGGCCCAGTTCACTTAGGAGGACAAACACGCGTGGACTTAGCTAGGGTATGGTTACACAGACGAAGACACTATTGGGACATTATTTAGGTGGACGATTTACTAGTCCTAAAGGAGCTTTGGAGGCACGTCATGATGGGATGAGATCAGGCATGGAATGCATATGATTCCACACTTTTACACTATCTCAGACGGGGTGTGCGATAGACTTACCTCCATGTGGTGCACCCTGGGCAACGTATACTCATGCGGCAAAAAAGTCAATAAACCGGCAGTTGACTTCTCACTTCAAACTACCATCACCTCACTCGATGCCATATTCGACTACTTCCACAGTACTCACTTCACCTTTTTCTACCTTTGTGTTTGTCTCTTACATCTTTGAAACACTCTTCTGTTCCCCCTCCTCTCGACTTTTCTTCAATTTGATGTTCCTTCCCCTCTGTGAAGNCTTCACAGAGGGGAAGGAACATCAAATTGAAGAAAAGTCGAGAGGAGGGGGGACAGAAGAGTGTTTCAAAGATGTAAGAGACAAACACTAAGGTAGATGAAAGGTGAGGTGAGTACTGTGAAAATAGTCGAATAGGACATAGAGTTGGGTCATGATAGTTTGAAGTCAATAGACTTTTTTGCCGTATGAATATACGTTGCCCAGGGTGCACCACGTGGAGGTAAGTCTATTGCAAAAATATCGACTCTAAATTTGGAGAGACAAATGCAGACCAGAGAAAAATTGCTACAGCATGACTCTTTCAAGAGCAGATTCAGTGTATCCGTTTGTGGGAAGAAGAGAGAAACCCATCAGAAAAGCAAAATATAAATATACGGGTTTCACAAAATTTTGGAAAATTTGAAGAAAAAAAACGACGATAACAGTTAAACAAAGAGAGGGAATAAGGTCGTTTCGCAATTCAAATAATTTGCAAGAGCGCTTTTGTGCTAAAACTCTTAATGCAATGGGCTTATGCTTTGAGAAAGTGGAATTAATTAGGTCGAGTGGATGAATGATTGAATATTTTAAGTCATTTCCACGCCCACAAAAGCAATGTGCGATTTAGAAGAATTTAACAAGTAGAAGTGATTCGAGCACCGAGAGTGTGCAAAAATTTCTAGTCAGAGGAAGGAGACAACAGACTCCTTTCAAATACTGTAATGCAGAGAGAAAAAAAATCGTAAACTCAGCAGGGAAGGCACATAAATACCTCTTCGTGTGCCCTAAAAAATATCATAAAGGATTGGAATGGCGATGAGCACCTTGTCAAGGGAGCCAAAAGACTGGCGACTGAAGAGCACTAAATACTACCAAGGTAATGAAAACCAGTTCGACAACCGTAGTTCCACCAGAGATTTGTATTTCTGGGATCTGTAAGTTTGACCCAAGCGTTTATGAATCATCTTGCGTGAAGCCCAATTAATCCGAATGAGAATATTAGTTACTCGTTTTCCTAATTCAGTAAATATTAATGCTAAAGTCAAGTTTGCAAATAAGCAAGCAAGAGAAACTTCAATACTAATCGTAAGTCTAATAACTAGTGATGTTGGTTATTGTCTATTGCAATTTATATCATGCATTGAAGGTTTACACTTGCTGAGAGCACCAACTCTTAACCTAATGCCAGATTAAAAGGAGTCCCGTAAGTTGGTTCCAACACTGAAATACATTGAGGTATCATGAGCTAATTTTACTTGTGCCTTCATGGGGTGTGCGATAGACTTACCTCCACGTGGTGCACCCTGGACAGCATATACTCATAAGGCAAAAAGTCTATTAACCGGCAGTTGACTTCTCACTTCAAATTACCATCACCCCACTGTTTGCCATATTCGACTACTTTCACAGTACTCACCTCACCTTTTTTCTACCTTCGTCTTTGAAGCACTCTTCTGTCCCCCCCCCCTCTCTCGGTTTGCTTTCACTTTGATGTTCCTCCTCCCCTCTGTGAAGCCTGAAGTCAACTAAAGGGCAAATGATAACTATCAAAACGCCTGCCATTTGATACAAATAAATAAACTTGTGTCTTCATTCAATTGG